AATGTGTTAATCATTTGAAATATTTCGCAAAAGATTGCAGATGACGAATACTTATTGCAAAACACTGGACAAAAACGTGTGACAACCGTGAGGGACAAACAAAAATAATGACGACTGTGACTGCAATGGATTTCGCTCAAACCTGAAAAAATTGTTATCATAACATTGAAACGGTCAATCCAATTCTAATATTGGCATCCAGCGTTTAAAAATAAAATAAAAAAACGGACAAAAAAACCGGCAAAGTTAAACATTAAATGAAAGTGATTAAAAGACTATCCGAAGTACAAACGTTTGTGAAATTATGGATTAACTACTTGATTATTGGCTACTAAATGTCGAGCGGAAAATATTTTATTCATCAAGGCAACATGTTGATTACATGCACAAGGTCGGAGGCAAAGGCAGACACCAATCAGTATCGGAAAATAATATATGTACCTGTTTACTTTCCGATATGTTTAGCAAATTAAATATCCGGAAACCTGAGGTACGAAAGTATAGACTACATGTAAATATCTAAAAAAAAAAAGTTCAGCAACTTTGATTAAAAAAAGATGCAGAAGATACCAAAGGGACACTCCAAACTTATAAGTTCAAAGAGAAACTGAAAACGCTATCATGGCAAAATCATTTGTTTAGATAAAACATGTAAATTTGAGGATGCTTACAACAAAAATGAATTCGGTAGCCCTCTGTAAATTCTATATCAATATAACGGAAATTTTAGTCACATTGAAATAAAATTTTAAAAAGAAAATTCGCAGTACACGTTTTTAAGAAAAGTCAATTTAAAAACAAATCATTCAATAGTGTTTTCAGTATTTACGTGCATTCTAATATTATATATACTAGTATATATTTGTACTTCGTTTTATGGAATTTTCAGATTCCTTTATCTCTGAAATTTTAAATATACTTGCATACTTTTTGAATAATAACTTGCGGTTCTATTAGATGAGGGACTGGGTGGTGGTTTACAGACTGGAGAATAATGGGCGAAAAAAATAAAGGATAGAGAAAAATGGCCTAAAAAATAAAGAATACAGAAAATATATGAAGTAAATGAGGGACCCAATCTAGACCCTCTTAGAACAATTTGCCCGCAAAATTTCATAAACATCCTTAAGATTGTCCATTGACTTACCTATTACCTAAAGAAATCTAACTGACGCGAAACAGAACTGTTTCCAGACGGAAACAATTGCATGACGTTGTGCATTGTTACGCTTCTTTTATGACGTTTTCTGTTCAAATTTCAAATCAAGGGCCTATCCCATGGCACTCAACGGTATTGTAACAAAAAAAGCCGTGGCACTCTAAGGGTTAACCTTTTCGCTGCCAAAATTTTTCAAAATCCAAAATAACGTTACGCCTATGACGTTGCTAAATTTTACTACAACGTCGACAAATGCCATTGAAAATCTTGTACCGTCGTTCACGTGATTCCACACACAGCCGTAATGTTCAAACCAATTAACCAAGTTCGATATACATGTGATATAAACTGAATTTATGCACACAAAAAATGGGCGCATATTAATGTACAAACTATTTAATTCTGATTCAAAATTAGATTAGATTTTGAAATAAACAATATGATGAATAATAAATGAATGAAATGTTACGCTTACGGATATTTGTTTTGAAAGAGATATACAATTACTTTTGATGCCTTCTACAAAATCCGTCCATAGAATTGGGATTCAAACTTATGTGTTATTGCTATAAACATTTACTTTTAAGTCGTGTGAAAATATTGGGGGGTCACCGGATTCGTTTTCCCCCAGTAGAAATTAATTAGTCTCACTTATGTACCGTACACAAGAAAAGGTGAAAACAAAACAAATATGATCGTAAGGTCGTGATATTGGTTTTTTTTTTATATCATACATCACTCATGCACAAATGATTTATACAATGAGCAAACACGAATCCGGTAGCCCTCTTATATGTTATTATCGTTAAAAAGAAAATTTTTACAGCAATGAAATAGTATTCTAAATAGAATTCCTTGGACGGATTTTCAAAGTGGGAAAAATTCACATTCTCTGCCGCGTTTTCCATACATTCTTTACATTAATAGACCCTTTCCACGTAATCGACAGGATCTTTGAAAGTATAAATCCTTCATATCTTTTTTATATAATTCAGATGATTCCAACGAATTATATAAACGCATACAACAATTCAAGGTACTTTCGACTCCTAACTTAATTGACTTTGATAGCCAGTTTTTTGTGTCGAAGTCGGTGGTTATTATGCCGGTACTGTGGCTTCCTGTATAAATAATATCTGACCACCACAAAATAGACAAGAGTGGCATGTATCATCGTGTCCAAGTTTAGAACATACACAACAGTCCCTCACTTCGCTCATTCAAGATAGCTACGGACCGTATACACTTCTTCGTCGTCATTGTTGCTCTCTTTCGATGCTGGAATTTCCAACAATTTCCTGCATAAATTGCAGAATAGTTTTAAACGGTTTTCGTCTCACAAACCTCTCTTTTAGGATCAATGAAACGGCAAAAGAGTTTGTTCACAGTTACCTAAACTTGAATCGGAATGGTATTAATAAAAAAACAAATGAAACAATTTTTGAGTGTGGATTACGCTTCATATCTATTTGTATACTAGTATTAAAACTCATAATACAGCGACAAATTTTGAAGAATACCTATGGGGAGGTTTGAGCGCCCTCAATCATGTTTAACCCCGTCACATTCTTTATGTGCCTGTCCCAATTCAAGAGTTCAGTGGTTTTCTTTGGTTCATGTCTGTCATATTCGTTTTTCGTGAATAATATTATTGTTTTTTTTTTTTTTGAATTAGGCAGTTAGTTTTCTCAATTGAATTGTTTTACCTATCATGCGATGATTGATAACGGGACTCTTTACCGTTAAAATAGAGGAGATTACAAAATGAAACATTTAGAGAATCTTAATTTTCTTTAAACTGCCATTTTGTTTTTTGCTTCGGACATACCTGTGAATAAGCTATGACACACTTCAAACACACTTTTAAAACAGTCAAAGCCGGTATGATAATACGTGTATGATAACTTCTGTTTCAAACTAAGCTGGTTCTCTGTTGACTTCTACACTTTGTTCATAGACAGTCGGTGAGATTGTAGAATCTAATTAGTCAAGAGACTTTTTCAATTATTCAGTCAAATTATGTGTATTATACTATATTGCACTTCCCACTGCAAACATGGAGAATTTGATTTTATGCTACAATCCAAAAAATCAACTAATAAAGATTGAAAGAGTATTCTTTTTTCAAACCAGTAATTGTATGGAAAAATTGTTTCCTTGGCTACAATTTACCGTTAACCCTTTTGATGCCACATTTAAAAAAATCAACATTTCGACGTTGCCAATAGGCAATGACAATTTGATATCGCCAGTGCCAAATTCTTTTGACGTCTTCTTTTTTGGCGTTTTTTTTTCTCATATTGTTTTATAAAGTTGTTTTTTCTACGCGAACGGCATTCACAATGGCGGTGACCAGGAGATCATTTTGATAATGCTATATTGACCGATTTAAATCTTTCTATACAAATTTGCTTCTTGATGGACCAAGGAGATTCATGAATGTAAAGTTAACTGATAATTTTTTGAAAATACTGTTGAATTTGTGCAATTTACGTGTTAATTACTTTACCCATTTAAATTTTCGACTGATATAATTCTCCAAAACGCAAGACCAATTATTAAAAGTTCTTTTTTTAATTGCAAGGGAATATTCAAGTATTATGCAATACGTATTTTCCACCTACAATTTTGGCTCTATATTTTCATATAATAACAGTTTTTAAAAAGATATTTTAGGGTATTTATGGGCGGATTTTACCAAACCATGAGTTGAAAGACACAGAATTGTCGGGAGTATATTTGTTTATTTGGTCATAATTTTATCTTCGATTGTTTTTGTTTCCTACTGATGTGAACATTGATATTAATATTTTGCAAACTAATTTGGGTAAAATATATGGCAAACTTCGGGATAAAAAATTATTGTTTATATCACCAGTAAAAGATAATTGTCCAAGGATAAATATAACTTATAATCAAATAGATTTGTGATAATTTTTTTCTATTGGTTGATTGAAATCCAATTAGAAATAACTTTATAAAATTTATATTTAAAAAATGTAATATATAGCCAAAAGTTGTTCGTGAAAAATACTTCTCGGCCACTGTATAAAAGGGGTTTGTACATAATTTCTTCAGTTATAATCGTTTTTCCCCATGTTCAAGAACCTTTATTTTTCTATAAGTAACATTTTGATTTAACAATTACCGATAAAAAAGGAGGCGAGTAATGTCGTGATATTTAACCTCGAAACATTGTCCTGAGCTGTCTCTATACATAAACCATGTGAGCAGTAGTCTTTTTTTATATTACATGTAAGAACATTTCTTTTCTTGTATTTAATGTTTAGGGATAAATTTAGAAGACGGGCTTAAATTTATCTTAACTTGTCTCGACACGGGACTATTTAATATATGAAGTTATATAGATGTGATTGCGTATTGAATGTTTGTCAACCTCTGTTTGTCATGATTTTTTTTTTAATTTATGGTGTCTTTTGATGTAGGCCTATACCACTTTTTTTTTATCTTGGAGATAGGGTTTTAAAGGTGACGAGATTCCTTTTGACATAACGTTCGAGAGTTTTCATTTTGTATGACGTCACGTTTAGCCATGACGTTGATGCACCAAAATCATTCATGAAGTTTAGCAGAATTTATTTATCTATTTCAAATTAATACATTTTTTCAATATTAAAAGTATTATTTCTTTTTGTAATGCATTATATTATTTAAATTTAGAATAGGAATTTATTTTATGTATCAATTTTATGTTTTATGCAACATGAAACAAATTGTTCTGTTTATTTACATTTCTAATTGCGTACAAAATCATGCTAGTCTTGTCTATTTCATTGTCTTTGTGTCTTCCTTCTACAATTGTTAATTTAATTTCTCACAGAAAAGGACCTTATAGTGCACAATAATATCATAGTTTCCACACAAAATGGAGAACATTAGCATTGTAAATAACAAAAGTAACCAGTTGGATGAAGAAGATGTTTCTATACATCTCGGGGACGACGAAATATTGTCCTGTAACGGGGCAGCAAGTGATAGTTTAATATCAGAAACAACTGCATTATTGTCCTCTGAAGACAGTCATTTACATCTGCAACAATCTTTTACTGGACAAAATCCAACATTAAGTTCAGATTCAGATATCCAATTACATTGTTCTCAATTTCCTCTTCAAAAAAGAGATTTTAGAAACTCGTCAGTAAACGAACTTTCTGATGAAACGTTTCTCAAACTGAACATTGATGAGGAGTTTCGTGACCTTCCGGATGGTAAACAATATCATTTATTTGTGTCATATTCCTCTGGAGACGTTATTGAAGTCAACAAGATTTGTGGACAACTCGAGAAAAGATTTTTCTTGAAATGTTTGAACTATGAAAGGGATTTTACTCCTGGAAAGAGGATAGATCAAAACATTTACGATACAATGATACAGAGTGTAGCTGTATTGACAGTTTTGAGTCCTAATTTCATTGAGAGCTCATGGTGTATGACAGAAGCTCAACATGCTCTAGATCTATCGTATAAGTCTAGGAACCATTTAAGACTGATTCCTATTCTTATCCGTACTCCAGACGAAGAATTACCAACGTTATTGAAATCTCATCGCTACATAGATGCACGGAACATAGAAGACATTCCAGCCAAAATATTTGATGTGTATTCCAATCCTGGTAAATATTTTACATAGTTTATAAATATTATGATTATGCATTCGAACAAATACAAAAATCGACCGTAAACATTGTACAAATAATCCTTAATTAGAAAACCAATTTCATAGATTTTTCTTACTTACATTCATCATTCATCAGTGGCGCTCAAATAAAATATGTTGAAAGCAAAATCAATTACGAAGTTGAAGAACATTATAAACCAAAATTTCCAAAAAAGTTGTGCTTATTATCGCCTAATCGATTTAAGCGAGTGACATTTTTCAAAAAGACCCTCCTTTAACAATTTTAATGAACCCACCTAACATACAGCTATTTAATATATCATTCGAAAGCTTATTATCTGTACTTTCTGTGTTGCCCGGTCGTCAATAATTCGTACAGTACAATTTTTGTTAAATCAAAGTCAAATATCAAGAATGAACATTCCTAAATTTCGCAAGAATTAAACAAAATGCGTCTTGCTAGTTCTTGTATGATATTTTTTTTTCTAAAAATCATATGAACATAATAGAACAGAATACCATAATTCCAAATCAAATGCACATTAAAATGTTAATTGCGCAATCTTCAAAGAAAACTGCAATTCTAAAAAAATCCATCAAAAATAATAAAATTGCACTTACAGCAAAATATTTCTTTAGGTATCAATATTTATATGTCAAAAATAAAATTAATTTGTCGTTTATAGGGGAAGGGATTTTTTTTGTCATTTAAAAACTGCAATTAATATAATAATGGTCAGGAATCAGCCTTCTGATCCAGCTTTTGCAGTTGCCCTCAATATCGCCATTTGCAAATATAAGGATCAGTTTGCTTTTACTGTTTAGATAAAACATCGATTGATGTCAATATCAGGAGAAAATAATTTACCATATTTAAAAAAAGGGGTAATACAAGTGTTTAAGGAATATACAAGGTACATACAGTAAAAATATGGTTTTTTTTCTATGTCAAAATTGGAAGACGTGTTTAAGAAGTTTATTCTCGTTAAATATTCGAATTAATATTGTTTGCACCAAGCGCTAATAATCCCTGATCCGGGTTTTTTTTTCCTGTTAGGACATTATTACATACTATATTAGTTTTATCAAACATGACTGAAAACTGGTATTGTAGAAGATTTATTACCATTCTGGAGCATATTCAATCACCACTGGTTTAAGGTAGTGTTCGTATATTTCAGTGCAGTGTTTTGAAGACTGTTGTTTTTCTGTCCTACTTTTATCGCTTTGGTCATTATGTTATACTAGTATAAGTGTTTATCGGAAATGTAGGAATCATCTTGTCCCTACGATCATTTTTATTTCTTTTCATTCATATGTCCATCCATTAGTCTAAAAAATCTTTGTGATAGGCAATACTCCTGATAAATTTTAGTGAAGTTCATAGTTTTGAAGTGCACATATGGAGATTGTACATGAAGGGATATATTCCTGATATACACATTCAAATAGAGTTAAATAGCAAACAATCTAAATTCAACATTACAGTCCTGCTTTTAAGTTATGTCATTTTTAACGCGTGTTTTTTCTCACATATAAAGATACCGTTTTTGTATATATTTTTTTTTTATGTCAACTAATGTCAAACACTTATTACAGTTATGAGATCTTCGCACCATTAGAAAACCAAACGAACAGATTATAGCATGCAAAACCATGCTAAATATTACACATAATAATCTTGCACGGTAATACAATCTGTCGATACCTATAGTTTGGCATTGCACAAGGTCATGTTTTTTTTCTGAATGTTAATGACGTCTTTACACTAAATCCACTTTGATGTTGGATGTGTACTGATTGATATTTTAGTCTTAGATACATGATTTTTTATTAGTTGTTATTGGCTTTGAACTAGCTGCCAGTAACTGCGAGTACTCTCAGATCTGTACTTAGTGTCTTTTTGTTGTGGGGATGTAGAAGTACCCTGTCACGTCCACTCTGTGTTTTTGTTAGATGTATTTCTATTTGTATCCATCTGATTAGTTAAGCCTTTTTCAACTGATTTTTATAGTTTGTTCTTATGTTGTACTGTTACACCACTGTCCCAGGTTAGGGGGAGGGTTGAGAGCTCACAAACATGTTTAACCCCGCCACATTCTTTATGTGCCTGTCCCAAGTCAGGAGCCTGTAGTTCAGTGGTTGTCGTTGGTTCATGTCTGTCATATTTGTTTTGTTATAAACTAGGCCGTTAGTTTTCACAATTGAATTGTTTCATGTTTTTCATGTTGGGGCCTTTTATAGCCAACCAAATGGTATGGGTTTTTCTCATTGTTGAAGGCCGTACGGTTGCCTATAATTGCTTACACCCACTTCATTTGAACTTTTGTGGATAGTTGTCTCATTGGCAATCATACCACATCTCCTTATTTTTATAAAGCATTGGCAATTAACAAGAAGCATGATTGCAGTAATTTGATGATGTCAAAAACGTCATAAGCACTACATGAAATATGTTATTTGGTTTTATGGGGATTAACAATTGATTCAGAGACAAACATTTTGGTTTTCACTCATTTTTATCATTTTCACTGGAATTTCTGGAACAAGGCGCTATTTATAAAAAAAATGCGTCATTAATATTTTAAAGTGCGGTTGATAATAATGACTCATTGCCTCTGTTCTAAAAGTTCTTCATATTTCCATGCAGTATTTTATTATTTAGAAGACAGAATATGCAAAAATGATGATGTCTTGTAAAATTAGAAACTGTCCGTCCTTCACCTTTCATCGTGATTTGACAGAAATTGCACCGGGCAAAAACGATAGTACAGATGCTATGCTTTCGAATGATATATGATTCATCCGTATGTTAGGTGGGTGCAATAAAAATAAAATGTTATTGTTAATGTCACTCGACTAGTACGCTGTTGCAAGATAAATTTCCGTTTTCTGCAATAAAACACCCTTGTCAGTAAATGCGTTAAGCTCGTGAATATTTCAACTATACGGATATTACTAACAGGGATGTGTTGCTTCCACTAAAACTGCTCCAACGTTAACAGAGGTATGAAATTGACACTACTCAAGTTTAACGGTCACCATCACGAGTTGATCGATACGATGTGTCGGTGTCTCAACTCTCTAACGACATGTTTTTGTAGTCATAAATTTAGATACCAGTAAAGTCGTCCGATCTGTAATTTTACCGCTTGTGTTCTATTCTCGATTGTGATATTTAAACTGAGTGTGGATTCAAATGGCGGGTGATGCATGGAAAGCAGGACCACTAACCCTATCAAAGCATCCAGTCTCGCTCCTTTCGAAATGTTTTTTTGTGTACTCTAATTTATCTCTACTTAATCGATTAACGAGATCTGAAAATCGATAAACTACTGTCGCTTTAATTAATTATGTACAATAGGTTTAGGGTAAAAAATCAACAAAAAAGTCGCAATAATCGTAAGTTGTTTGAAATAAAATTTTAACTTCATGTTGGTTGGATATTTTTTATAGACTGTTATAATATATTTGGAATAACCTGTATAAAGTTGCATACATAATACCAGTGAATTAAAGTTTCCGTCTTTTACAACATGTACTATAATGGCTATTTCAAACAACTTAGAAATCAGACATCTTCATGATGTTAGTTTCACAGATTTTGTTGGAATCAGAGTTGGTTTTTTAACAGTTTGATTTGTCCTACCCTAAACAAAGTATTAGTATCTAACTTGGAGATTCTTTTCTATGAAATAAGTTGGACTTATTCTTTCAGTCTGCCTTTAAGTTTACAATCTGGAATGCTTGTGTAAAGATTATTAGAAATGTCAAATATTTTACATACTATTGCAAGGTGAAACAGACCTTGATTGTCAGTACCCAAACAGATCTTTGGAAATATGACAATAGTGATTTATTAACGGAAAAATAGGTAAATATGGAGACTGCAAAAATAAACATATGGACAACTTTAAAGTAATGGAATAATGATGGTTCCCTTGTATATAAATTTTGCTATATTATAGACATGTGATTTTTTACACAAAGTCCATCATGTTTTAATCAATGTTATTTATATAAAAACAAATTGCATAATACAAGACAAATAAACATTAATTCGAATAAAGACTATTTTTTATTTATTTCAGGTGTAAACAAACTTGAATTCATAGAACAGACAGGTAAGGCAATTAGTATATAAGTGTTTTATCACTTTTAAGGGAGGATATTTAATCAATGAAGGTAGGATAAAGCGGGAATTGCATAAACCATTCTCATTCAGAAACTTTATAAATGGCACTGGAGTTCGATATTTTTGTTAATAGATATAAGAAGATGTGGTAAACCGTATGAGTGCCAATGAGACAACTCTCCATCAAAGTCACAACTTGTAAAAGTAAACCATTATAGGTCAAAGTACGGCCTTCAACACGGAGCCTTGGCTCACATCGAAAAGCAAACTATAAAGGGCCCCAAAAATGACTAGTGTTAAACCATTCAAACAGGAAAACCAACGGTCTAATCGATATAAAATCGAGGAACGAGAAACACTTATGAACCACACCAACAAACGACAACCACTCAACATCAGATTCCTAACTTAGGACAGGTGCAAACAAATGCAGCGGGTTTAAACGTTTTAGTAGGCGCCAACCTTTACCCTACCTGAAATAATAGTGTAACATCACAACATAGAAAGACACACTATAAAATATCAATTGAAATGGATTAACTCAATCAAAAGACATATTAACAAAAACAAGTGAGCATACACTGAACGAATAAATTTGATATATGACACAATGTAAATACAAAATTAATAAAACGAGGGGGTTAGATGTAAAACAATATCAGAAAGACTTGTTGTAAGATATACATGGAGTACGGATATAATGTTTACAAAATAAATCATTTTGTTGTTCCTAGTACGAGAACAAAAGTGAAAATTTATCGTCATACTAAACACTTATCAAAGGTGGTATATATTAAAAATAGTGAGACTAGATATAACATTGAAGAAGTAAACATTTAATAACACAAATACCTTACAAACAGTATCAACAGGTCAAATTAACACGAAAGTACGATTTCCCGAGAGTACTCGCAGTTACTGAAAGCTAGTAAAAAGCCAAAAACAATTAATAATAAAAAAAATCATGCATCGGAGACTAAAATCAACTAAAACACATCCCAGGGATTTAGTGTTTTAACGTCATGGACAGTCAAAGAAGACATGACTTGTGCAATGCCAAAATAAAAGTATCGACAGGCAGTAAGATAGTTAGGAGTTAACCTGTTAATAAATATGCATAATGTAATATATAGATAGAGTAATCTCTATATAGAAAATGAACGTGGATGTGTATTTAAACCGTTTGAAAAGAATACAAATTCAGTTATGTCAGTTTAATTTGCTGATGACAAAATCGATATTTGTGCCAATGTAAACTATATTCAAAGATCTAATTAAAACATTGGTAAGATAATCTTTACTAATAAGTTTGTTTAAAGGTTCGATGAGTTTAATACCTTTTTACACACAAATAAGGTCATTATGACGGTGCGTCTATCAAACTTTTTTTACACATCTTTAAGATGTGTTGATAAAATCCAACACTCAAGTTACACAAAATTAAATGATGTGTAAGTGGCTGAACTATACCGTGTCTAAAATTCCAGTATTACTTTGAATATGTGTCAGATACTGTAACAAGTCAAAGCGAACATTTATAACCAAAAGCAAAGCGATTTATATTATTTTTAGAAAATCTACATTAACGATGAAGATTACTACATTTATACCCACATATCTGACAGTTTTGTATTTGCTGAATCAAAATTATCACACAAAATGATTCATTTTTAATAGGGATTCTAGGTGGCCAAAATCACATTGTTATGAATTGATTAATAATGCAGTCAATATATATGTTTTATTGATAAAGTATACAAGAGGTTCGTATCCTTTAAGGTAGATTACTACTGGAAGTGTTTTACGACCTTGACTGGATATACATCCCTCGCACGGTCGGTACATTAAGGTAGATAGGGTGTCTTCCTCCATCTTGGATTTTGAAATACCAGACAATAATCGGTCTAGATCTTTAATAAAATGTGCAAATTTTGAGAGTAGTGGATAATTCATATGTAAGAATTTTCATTTTAATATAGAAAATGACATGTTTTATTATATTTATGGTTGTATTTTACAAAAAACAGAATACTTTTGTATGAATAATTTGTTTCCAACTTTGCCACATAAGGGGAGGCAACTCAAATGTAAGGGCAGATAATTCAGATAATTTTTTTTTACAATAGAATGTGTTAGGAATTTACCTATTTTATTATGTAGCAAGAAACGCGAACCGTGAACCCATTTTTTCTTTTTCTTATCTGAAAGTATAATAGAGCTATCTTCTCATATTTTATCTCGAAATTCTATGGTGTAGTTTTCGTTTTATGGCAGAAAATTGCGTTTTCCATGCATAATCTATACAAAATCTGTCAATTTTGCACAACCTGTAGCGTGAAAATAAGCCCCGTGACCCATTCTTTTTATTATTTTTTTTCAAAAAAGGCATGATATAAACTACATTTTGATAAATTATTAAAAAATTCTATGGATTATAATTTAGACACCCCATCTACCTTAAGGTGGAATGGTATTTTCTGGGCCATAGGTATAATTTGTAATTTGTTTCATATTTAGAATTTTAACCACTTTCTGAAAAGAACCCAACCCTCCACATATACTTATTTTAATTACTTTTCATTTTAGTTTCAGAAACATATATGTCAATATGCATGATGACCGTTTTCCATTTCCGTTTGCTACTAGTTCTTCGCAGCCTTTTCACATGCAGTAATTACAAAACTTTGAAAAATTCGAAATTTTTGTTTTCATCTACATGTGAAAATTATTTTAATCTCTTATAGACCTGATATTTCCTCGGCTGGAAAAATATCTTTAGTGGATTGTGTAATTTTGGTGGAAAGTAGCCTATTTCTGTAAAGTAAAGACAATTTATTTTATTGTGTGCTCTTTTCGCCAATTTAAACAACACTGGCTGGATGCGACTTATCGCTGATTTTTCCGTCGCCATGAGTAACACAAAAGATTGCACTAGTGGAGCAGGTACTTATGTTTTTCCAGGACACATACACCCTCATAAATTATATGGTTTAAAAAGGGCTCATGTAACTTTTGCTGTTGGTTTCAGTGTTGTTGTTTTTTGGTGTTATTTTACTTTTCAATGTCTGTCTTGTTTCTACTGGTAAAACTCTTGACTACAACAACAACACCTTTTTTTTTAATCAATGCATCATTTCGGAATTATATATTCCAAGTGATTTATGAATCTTGCGATTTTTTATTGTTAGACAAGTGGCAATTACCAATCCCTTATTGTTATATGTTTAAACACAGCATATGAATAGTTGATACATTAAGTGAAGTAACACGGCGGAGTTCTCTAGTAGAACAGAAATAACTGACCGATTTTAGAGCATCTGAGTGTTTGTTGGGTTCGTGATGCTAAATATTTGGTTATTGTAGACAGGTGCTTACCATTTCGTTTTTTTTTTCTTCTTCTTACGGTTATGTCGTTAGTTAGTAGATATAAGAAGATGTGGTATGAGTGCCAATGAGACAACTCTCCATCAAAGTCACTATTTGTAAAAGTAAACCATTATAGGTCAAAGTACGGACTTCAACACGGATCCCTGGCTCACACCGAACAGCAAGCTATAGAGGGCCCCAAAAATGACAAGTGTTAAACCATTCAAACAGGAAAACCAACGGTCTAATCTGTATAAAATGTCGTTGTCTACTTTTTAATCAACCTATAGTTTTTATTCTCCCTCAGCTATATTGAATGCAGAATATATAATGCTGTTTCATGTTGATAAAGAAGTTTAGCAGTTGAACGTGTACTTGTACGTGCACTTGTACGGGTGAAATACACGTACAAGTACACGTACACGTACACGTTCAGGTTTAATTAGATGGTGCAACTTGTACGGGTATTGCTTCTTCCGTGTTATAAAGATAATTCAAATTTAGGAGATCCTTTATATTTTTATGAATTATCTGCAGAGGCTTGCAAGAAATTGTTCCGTTTTGAAGAAGATGACATTCCAAATTTATGAACAGCCTTGGATAACCCCGATTCCTTTGTATGTGTGTTCCGGTCTAGAAGCCTTGTCTTTTATTACGTAGATTAGCTTATCCTTGTCGCCTTTCAGACCTCAAATATGAAACTGCTATGTCTATAATCATTAATACAGCAATGAACTTTGTCTACGATGCTCATAACCATCTTTTACATGATTTCAACAGTAATTGGTTATCGCACAGACATTTACAAGAATACGATGACGTCGTTGCAGCTAGAGATGCACCTCTTCTTAATTGTTGGGATTTCATTGAAGGGACCGTTCGACCCTTTTGCAGACCAACTACAAATCAGCACATTTTATTTAATGGCCATAAAAGAGTCCACGATATATAATTTCAAAGCATAGTTGTTCCTAATGTACTTGTAGCAAACATGTATGGTCCGCTTGAAGGTCGAAGGCATGATGCCGGACTACTACGAGGGAGTGGTATTTGTGGAGAACTTCAGACATACATGACAACCCCAACTAGTGACATTTATGTTATTTACGGTGATCCGGCTTACCTTATCCGTATTTGGCACAACTTTTTGGAATTTTGGGTTCTCAATGCTCTTCAACTTTATACTTGTTTGGCTTTTATAACTATTTTGATCTGAGCGTCACTGATGAGTCTTATGAAGACGAAATTATAAGCCTGGTACCTTTGATAACTATTTACCCCATGACTACACACATCATAAAACCTTTTAATTTTGACATAGATCCTCCAAGTTTGGAAAATTATTTGTCTGGATGAAGCTATATTAGCTATATGTAATTCGTTTCTGTTGTACAATTGATGTGAACTTTGTCTTGAAAATAAAATGAATATTGTTGACAATATTAAATCTTAAATGTCTAATTCAAGATCCCGATCATGTTGAACGTCTAAACGAAATTGAAAGGGTGTTACTTTTAATTCCCATATACATTTTTCATAAATATGTTGCAAGAAATTCCTTGAAGGCGTATATCTTATCAATTTTTACCAGCAGCCTTCTCATCTCCGATTTGATTTGGATAAAAATTACTACACCCCCCCCCCCCCCCCCTTTGGAAAAAAGGAAAAGTTTCATGATTCCCCTTTTGAAATGAAAAGAAATTCCCCCATATGAACATTTGTACTTAGTTTCAAGTTGATATGACTTAAACTTGACCAAAAACTTTAACCTGAGAATGTACTGTTTTTACACTATCCCATTTATAAGTTCAGTGAACCGTAAAATTGGGGTCAAAAACTTAATTTAGCAAACAATTTAGAAAGATCATATCATAAGGAACATCTGTACTAAGTTTCAAGTTGGTGTGATTTCCAACATCATCATGAACTACCTAGACCAAAATCTTTAACCTGATACGGGACTGACGGACGAACGCACAGAACAGAAAACATAATGCCCCTTTACTATCGAAGGTGGGGCATCATAAAAGGTATAAACAGACACACGAATCACTGACCAAGGTACTCCTGTTTTGGAACATGTAAACGTCAAATGTGGTGGGGTAAAACTAAATTGTGGCATCTTATTTCAAGGAGACCACTAAAGACCCACTAAAACAAAATTAACACAAGCATTTTACCATCTCATTCACGAATCGCACAATATTCCCCAATGATAGTGAAAAATTACAACAAATTTAGAGTAATCAATATTTTGTAGAACATCAGAATAATTTATTTTTCTATTTACAAAAATATCAACTAATTTAGTTCTTGTCCGCGAGCTTTCTAAACATTTCAAAAAGCATCATCTTTTCCTGTCTTTCAATATCCATTCTCTGTCTCCTCTCGTTTTTCTCCAACTCAAATTTCTCTCTCTCGAACTGTAGTTGTTTTTTCTTCATTTCCATCTCTTTTTTCCTTATTTCCGTCTCTGTCTCTTTCTTATCTTGCAGATAAGAACAAATATTGTTGGATGATTTTGATTTCTTTGGTATAATAGCTTCTTCTGCATCACAATCTGTAAATACAAGGTCAAATGAAAATATTTCCTTTCCAATTAAAGGTTAAAACAATGAAATAATAAAGTATTGTGCTTATATTTTACCTTTGCGATTCAAAAACGTCTGCAATAAAATGCACGTTTCAAATCAATGGAAAAAAAACAAATGTTCTTACCATCTTTAAGATTAAAATTAAGAAAAAATAAAAAGATAGTTTACAGCAGAACCAAACATAACCACAACCATTTTATTTTCCAAACTAATTGATGCGAGTTATTTTATACAAAATTGTATTGTAAATATAGAATAACAAAAATAAACTAAAATTATTATTTTAACTTACCTTTTGTGGGTGTCAGGGTTTCTAATGCCCTTTTTCTAATGTCAAGGGAAGCCTTTCCAGGGAAGCTGTTTTTTCTTTATCTGCATCCTTTTTCCTCCATCAACCCTATCACCTCCTCCAGTAAACTTTCTCTTTCACTATATTCCTCATCTATACCTGATCTAAAACATATTATGTAAAATTATGAATCAAGCAGAATTAATTCAATTATACCCCATCGAAGACTTTACATTTGAAACTAAATCAAACATCAAACCAAAAGAACTTGCATTGGATTTGAAAGCTAATAAATTAAATGACGCTGAAACTTTAAACACTTTTACCACTTTTAAAAAATCTTTTTCATTCCTGTTTGTTCTAAAGCCACAGGCAATTGAATTTAGAGGGCTGCTCATTTTCTGGAAAAAATTATTCCTTTGATTTTGATTTAAGAATGTACCAATGTACACAATGTAAATTTTGTCAATTAAAGGGAAATATTCATTATAAAATTCATTTCAGGTACATTTCAGTGACATGTGCCCGCTTGGCGGTCCATATATTTCTTTTCATTTGTAAACAAAAAAATAATCCTGAATTCAATGTAATTAGAAAAGAGGGACGACCGATACCAGAGGGACAGTCAAACTCATAGATCGAAAACAAACTGACAACGCCATGGCCGAATATAAAAAGACAAACAGACAAATAATAGTACAGATGACACAACATAGAAAACTAAAGACTAAGCAACACGAACCCCACCAAAAACTGGGGGTGATCGCAGGTGCTCCTGAAGGGTAAGAAGATCCTGCTCCACATGTGGCACCCGTCGTGTTGCTTATGTTATTACAAATCCGGTAAATAGTCTAATTCGGTAGGTCACATTCGTGAAAAGGGAAGGATATTGTAGTTACGACATATATAAACATATCCGATATCATCTATGAAACGGTTATTTCATAACGGTCAACCAACTCGTGATGGCGTCCGTAAAATTTACGAAGGGATGATTTCAACTTCACCATTTGGATCTCTTGGTTTAATAGCTTCCTTGTGAGCAGCAATCCTCTATCAAGGAAATCATGATAGGAAATACAAGCCCGGGAATATCGTATCAATTGGGAGATATATACTCCGTATGCAGGCGCTGCTAGAATGTTGCTACATAGAAATGGAAAGTTCACAATTGGGAAGCTGAAATCATCTCTTTTGTCGTAAAGTTTTGTTTTCAACCGACCCTCGTTGTCAATTTCTAGATGTAAGTCAAGATATGAGGCAGACTTAACTGTATCTGTAGTGTCCTTTATCTCTAGTTCGATGGGATAGATTCGTTCAACTTAGTCACCAAATTTTGTATTATTTAGTGAGAGAACATCATCTTTATAGCGGAACGTAAAGTTAAAGGATATGGCTCACTTTTTATCTTTCTTCCTAAGAAGTTCCTGTATGAAGTCAGCCTCATAATAATAAAGGAACAAGTCGGCAAGAAGAGGGGCACAATTGTTCCCATTGGAATTCCGACTGTCTGTTGAAAAACACGTCCTCCAAACGTAACAAATATGTTTTCAATCAAGAAATCAAGCATCTTGATAATGTCAGTTTCAGAGAATGTTTTGTTTGAATCAGAGTGATTCTTTACAAAGTAGGATTTATCCCTCCCCAAAACAAGATACTTGTATCTACGTTCGCCATTCTTTTTAATGAAACAAAGTAATACCAACTCTTTCAATTTGTCTTTTTGTTTGGAATGGGGAATACTTGTGTAAAGTGTAGAAAAGTCAAATGTTTTAATACTATTGAAAGATGATACTAGAGCTGCATACTCCCGAAAGAAAAACGGAATTATTTCACTGCTATTTTCATTGAAAAAAATGTTCAGAAAAAACAATAAAACTCAGAAGTTTTTACTTAGTGTAAATCCCGCCTTATAAGTTCCCAATGGCGTGTATTTGTAAAACGTTGCATAAATCGATGACGTATTACGCACTGCAACAGGGAATTTCTCTACTACCCGTACACGTCTACTTTGCTAAACCTCTCTAATATGAGAAGAAATCCACAAGATTGGGTGGTTTTTGAATGTCAATGTGTCGAGAAAAATCATGACTGAAAGGGATTAGACTTTAAATGATTTGGTCCCAAATATGACATTTTTACGCCCCATTTTGCTATATTTATGTCAAATAAGTTCAGAAACACACACACTTTTATTTTATAACATGAATTTTGCATCAAATCTATATGAGATACTGTTGTTTGTGTTTTGAATATTTTTCGTTTTTTGACATGGCAAACGAGTTTGAATATCCCTTTGGTATCTTTCGCCTCTCTTTTTCAGGTATGTAATAACCGACTATTGATGAGAAACAATGCAAACATAAAGTTTTTTGCCAAAGGCTCTAATATATCGAGTTTCTAGACACATCACTTGGAAAAAAGAACTTCAGATAAAAACGTCAATCCTCTGCTTAAGGTTTTTTATGTGGACCTATACTCCCCCCTCTGCCTTAGGTTCTTCATATGGATCTATACTTCCCCCTGTTTAAGGTTCTTCGTATGGACCTATACCTCCCTTTACTACCCGTAACAATAGTTTATTTACCGATGTTCAAATCTCGTAAGTCCTTTTAGAGATACAAAACAAGTTTAAAATAATGAGGGAGTTGATTCACACCCAAAAGGACCGATACCAGTTGACTCGCCATGCTAATCCTCCGCTAACCATTCGAATCTTTAATCAGTCAAATGACACAATTAGAAATATAACAAAATCGGTAAATAGACATATTACTCCGTGTTGAAGGCCGTACTTTGACCTATAATTGTTAAATTTTTATTACACCTTGTGACTTTGATGGATAGTTGTCTCATTGGTACACATACCACATCTTCTTATTTATATATCATCCTATTATAGAAATATTTCCTGGTCAAATGTTATTCGCCCAGTCCCATTTCAAAATTGTCACAATTTTCAAAACGAATTCATTTTTTGTCTTTGTTCCTTCCACAAATATGTGCAAGCTGGGCTCTGCTGATATATCAGTGTTCTAGTCTGTTGTATTCCTTAATTAAAGACAAATTAAACATTTTTATTCTCTTTTAAATTAAGGTTAAATATACTTTTTAATTACTAGTAAATAACCAAACTATGATGTGGATTTAAGCAGCATTGCTTTGTTGATATTTTATTTGTAATTTCTATATGCACGAGAGAAAAAACAAGACTATAAAATAGAAAATCTAACCAATAAACTTAAAATTAATGTTTTGCTTGATCTAATTTCAAGTCAACGTTTCTGCAGTGTTTTATTTCTTTTTTAATATAGTCGATAAAAGCGGTCAGAATGGTGCAACAAATTGGTACCTCCAAGCCGATAGGCATTCACATCTTTGTGATAAAGTGTATACCTATCAGTTTCCTAAATTAACAGAAGCAAATGTGGACAAAATAACAGCCTACAATCCTAATGTGAGTTCATTAATATAAATAAGTAAAGTCTTCATAAAAAAAATATTGATTGGTTAATTGTTGGTGTAATAAAGCGAATTTAGCACCCTTTGGTAAATCATGGAGGTCAGTTTATGTTAGTGAAAAAATTCGTAGTACAAGGAGAGAACAACCGATTGTTGATGAAAGTTGATGAACCAGGGTTATGTCAAAGACATCTCGTCCTTTTTCTAAAAAAGTTCATCGGAAGATATCAAGACCTTGTTGATAAATATTCCGTAACAACTTCACAAATAACACATGATGGTCTTGAAGTATGGATTCTAGGTACTTGCGTTTTTTTATCATCTTAATTACGTGTTAATGTGTTCTTTTATTTGTCTTTGTATATTATTAACATATAGTGTTTAGTCCATTTTTAGTAATTTCTTTTGGCGTGGCTCGGTATTTATACATCCCGCCATTGTGTTATTGTGCTATGTTCATTTTTTGTATTCTTGTCTTTCATTTTTGCTTAGTGCTTTGTCTATAAGCTATTTTGGTTTTTTGTTGACATAGTTGATTGTTTTATAGTGATTAAGATTATAACACAATGTTGACTGCTGAACCCAAATTTTTTGACATTTTTACATATTATGTATGTTTGTTTTGTTCACACACTGTTGTCAATATAATGAAATTTTATGCGACTGTCATATAAGTGAGAGGTTTAGATAGCTACAAAACCAGGTTTAATCCTTCCTTTTCACATAAGGAAATGTCTGTACCAAGTCAGGAATATGACAGTTTTCCATTCGTTTGATGTGTTTTAGATTTTTGATTTTGTTATTTGATAAGGGACTTTCCGTTTTGAATTTTCCTTGGAGTTCGGTATTTTTGTTATTTGAAAACATGAATTATAGCAATAGTAGTTTACCGATGTTCAAATCTCATAAATCAGTTAAATATTCAAATAAAGGTAACAAACAAAAACTGCAAAAATCGCATGATTTCAAAATAAAGCAAGACCGGGTGCGTCGTTTCCTGATTTGCAAGCATCGCCCGCAATGCGAGTCATCAGTCAAAATGTTCCAATCGGGAATAGAATTTGAATCAGTAAAATTACAGACCAGACGATTTCATGACTCTGTTAAAGCATTTGTTGTGAGAGGAGCACACTCCTGTTAGTCGTCGAGAATCTTCTACATATCTTTTTTTATAAGAACTTTTGAGATGTTTAGCGATCCAGTTAAAGACGGGATATTTTCATCGTCCCAATTTGATACTAAAGAAGGGAAGAACGGATTTCTAGTATTCTAAAATCCCCTCATTCGTGAGTGATAATGTGGCATATGTGAGATTCCAAGTTTTGCTGTGCATTCCAAGTTCTTAAGTTTGACATTCGAAATAAAGCTTTTTTAATATAAAATCAACTTTGTTTGATTCTTTTTCTTTTTTTGTCGTTAAGAGAGAGTAAGGCATCACATCCTCGGCATTCTTCAAAGTTTCAAAGTGTAACAAAACCTAGTTTGTGCAATATGCATCGTAGATTTTCAATGCACTTCTAAATACATGATTGTGCTGCTTTGATCCATTCAGAAATAGACTGAATTTTTGGTTCATCTGGTTCGTGCTTTATATTTTCTTGCATAGTTCTCAATTGCATCAATCAGTAACCTGGAGTTTTTCGTCTCGTTGATGGGCAGGGAATACGTTATTTCGGGCTTTTGGTTAACAGCACACTAGGTTTTTTCTTTGTTCCCAATGCTAAAGTTTCCAAGTTATAATATAACCGGCGGGACTATAATATGGGGATGATGAACAAGAGCATCCTTGAGAGTAAAGGCTGGTTATACCCTCTTGTGATTTAAAATTTTTGAATGCAGTATGTTAGGTGTAGATAAATGAAATAATATGTGTAGTTATATCTTTGAAATAATCGGCCATTGTTTCCTGCACATACTGTTTGTTGAAAAAAAAACCTGTTAATGTTGAAAGCATCCAAACCCTTATTAACGAATTATACTTTTAATCTTTGAAAGTAGTCGTTATGGGTTCTACTATTCCGAGGCTAGTTAAGTCCTCACCTATTACAACAAATTTGTACTTTTTCTGTCAAATTTGTATCAACAACAGAAGTGTTGGAATAGTGAATTGAGCTTGGATATTTGTATGGAAAACAATTTAGCTTGAACATATATAGTGAATTCTAACAGGTTTTTTGAACAGAGGATAATAAACCATCAATAGACATGGTTTGAGCTGCAATTGGTGTATATTTTCGATGACGGTGACTCATCTTGCGTCGAACAGATGTGATAAAGGGACATTAACTGCCAATTTCAGTACCAACGAATTCGTTAATTTGATTTTAAACATACTAAAATATTAAATAGAATTACAAAAAATTAAAAGAAATAATTAAAGCATGCATGAAATTGTTATAAAGTATTAGCATTTCGTGCGTTTTTTATCACTAGAAGCCATCTAATTGACAATTGAAGTGACCTTCGTAGACTCCCGATGGTCATATTACCTGATATAAACAGAAATATCAATAAGTATACAGACAAGCATATGCAACAGTAGTTTTTTCTTGGTCTGTTTGATTTTATGTCATAGATTAAAAATTATGTAATCACCGTTTTATACTTTCGATTCCTTAGATTTACCCTAATGTTAATATCATAACGCATGATCTCTGATATCAATGGTCTGTCTAGAGCTCTTTTCAAAGGCCAAAGGTAATAATCAAAGATAAAAAAAAAGTTGTGAGACAAATATTATGCAAAACTTAAAATTTGAAAGCAATAAACAGACAAGTTCAAATGGATCACATGAGCCTGCTAAATTCGTCCCTCGATGCTTCATTAAAAAGGAAGAGTAATAATTTTGGCAGTACTTAAATTCCAGAACGTATTCCTACACCTATTGTATAGCGATACATGTCGAGTTATGTTTTGACTTTTTAAAAACATACTCAATGTTATTTGATATTTGATGTTTATAGATCATAGAACTGGTCATGTCGTATCTGAAACTGCTAGATATTTCTTTTCAAAAATATATTCATTCCATAACACCATAATGAAAAAAATGTTACACTTTCTTTCATTTTGAATACAGCTTGAGTATCCTGGCCTTGCCGCCATAAAAATTTCGAGTAGGATAATCAAAGTTTTGGATTTAGTGGTTCGAGAACAAATTTCTTAAACCAAGTACTGAGTAAAGTTTTATGACCGACAGCCCTGATTTCTTGCCAGAATATACTTGTTTTATGTTTGAAATTGACTGTAAATTCCATGTCACTTTTCCGATCGTACGTCTTCGGTTGTGTAGGTATTGTGTTTGTATCTCGGCTGTTTCAGAAAGATATCTATAGTAAAATATTTTGCAGAATTTGTTTGAAATTGTTTAAAAATAGGAGATGTCAACTTTCGTCGTTTTTCGTATTTTTGCCATGGCATTGTCAGTTTGTGTTCGACTTATGAGTTTGGATATCCTTTTGGTATCTTTTGCCTCTCTTTTACAAGTCCGAATAGCGTTCTCAGTCCAGTTATAAAATGGATAGATTCAAATGTCAGGCTTGGGTGCCTTCTTTCCGGGTTCTGGTGTCAAGTTTAGGTTTGAAACTTCGAGGTTCAAATTCCAGTAACAGGTGCCTTTTACGTGGAAACTAAGAATACTTTCTGTTAATTCAAATGCGCTCGATATCTATTGTTGGTATAAATGATGTGCCTCAACAGGAGAAAAAATAAGTTTTCCGCTCTTTCTGTCTCGAAAAAAGTCGAAAGTATCAAAAGCGAACTGGAACAACTTAAAAAATATCACGCCAGCCTGCAGCAACTCCAAAACAATATAAGAAGCAACCTGAATCATGTCAATAAGATCCGAGAACAGCCTCGAGCAACTTATGGATTGATGGAAGTAAGCTAGAGCAACTTCCAAAAATCAGGAAAACTAGAAAAGTTGAAAGAATTTACCGGCATTTTAAGTCTGTTCTTACACGGACTCGTAAAGGCAGACATGAAGGGAACCACATAATCGAAAGTTTGAAACCCTGACACGGACTGGAGAATGCGACTACGTCATAAAAGAAGACCAACTCTATTTTTGTATGGCTTTAATCCACTTTTAATCGTGTTTTGTATGTATTTTTCAAGAAAAGGTTTAAAAATTAAAAAAAAGAAATACAAACACGGTATCTAATACTAACTAAATTTTCTTCCTAAAGGATAGATTACCCTGGCTTTATTTGGCAAAACCTTTCGGAATTTTGGATCCTCAAAGCTCTTCAACTTTATTTGATCTTTTTAACTTTTTGATAAGAGCATCACTGATGAGACTTTTGAAGACGAAACGCGCATCTGGTGTACCAAATTGTTATCTTGGTATCTATAATGAGTTTATCTACACAGCAGGACCGGTTGTTCATCGTTTTTTATATATAACCCACGATAATATATTACCTTCAGTTAAATCATTTACGCAACCAAGGATGCAAATTTTGTTGGTCATCTTTATTTTAAATCTTGGTCTTTTCAGTGTAACAACTAGAAAATAACTAAGCTTTTTATTTAGCATATCAAAAAAGAATAACAAAAATACCGAACTCTGAGGTAAATACAAAAAAGGGAAGTCTATGGATAATGACGATTAAAAAGTCATACGATATACTGTATCAACCAACGGAACGAATGGAAAACAGCTGTCATATTCAAAAGCGCATTTTCTATACAGAAAACTGGTTAGTTGATCTGGAATCAAACAGTTGGAAGGCAAATTGATAGAAAGATGTAGTATGCACATTAGTTATACATTAAGGTAAGTCATTTGAATACCACCGCGCATGTAACTTGCGCAACTACTATCCGCAAGTTGGTCTAAGATGTTGAAATATTATTTGTGGATTCATTTAAGGAAATGTGTTTTTTTTATTAAAGAAACGATTTATTTTTTTTAAGAATGATAAAACATTTTATCATTAATATATAAAGACCTATTTCCAACGCTTTTCATGTTTACGACTTTCTACCGGAAAC